TGTGGAGTTGATGGTTGTGGTTGTTGTAATTGTTGTTGTAATTGTTGTTGGTGTTGTTGTAATTGTAATAGTTGTTGTTGTAATTGTAATTGTAATTGTTGTGGTTGTTGTAATTGTAATTGTAATTGTTGTGGTTGTTGTAATTGTTGTAATTGTTGTTGTTGTTGTTGTAATTGTAATTGTTGTAATTGTTGTTTATTGATAAGTTTTGGTAATAATGTTCCAAGACAAAATTCACATCTGACAAATCTTGAATCCGTTATATTAGCACAAAGAGGACATTTAGTCATTATGATGAGATCAGGAACATCATTTTGTTTTTTTCCAAATTCTGGAAATAACAACGATGATGATGATGATGATGATGATGATGATGATAACGATGATAATGAAGACGACGACGACGACGGCCAAAGTAATATCTCATGACATGCCTTACATCGACTATCGTTAGAACTATTATATGACAAACATGATGAACATTGTATGATACTATTACTATTATTATTATTATTATAAAAGTTTTTAATATCATAATTTTGTAAGTTTGTAATATTATTGATATTGTTGATGTTGTTATTGATGTTGTTATTCATGTTGTTATTCATGTTGTTATTGATGTTATTTAGATATCTCAGATAATTTGTTGTCCAAGGATTTAATGGATTTATTGGATTTATTGGATTTATTGGATTTATTGGATTCATTGGATTTATTTGATTCATTGGATATGTTCCTGGACTTGGTTTTATTGGATTTAAAAATACATTTGCTGGTTTTATTGGATTTAAATATAAACTTTCCGGGTTTAAATTTGTTCGATTCATTAATTTCATTGAACTGTTTATATTTGTTGGATTAATTAAACTTGGCATCGAGTATGAATTTGGATTAAAATATGGTTTTGTTAAATTTTTTCGTTTCATTTGATTTAAAATATTTATATTTAATTGATTTGTTAAATCTGGTCGGGTTGATGAATTTGAAATGTTCGCAAGATTTGAATCGAAATTTATTGGATTTAAATTTACTTGATTTGTTAAATCTGGTTGACTTGATGAATTTAATTTATTCGTAGGATTCGGATTTAAATTTTTTGAATTTTTTAAATTTGTAGGATTTGGATCCGTTGTATTTGTGCTTATTGGATTTGTTTGACTCGGATCGGAATGTATAGTATTTTTATCAACAACAGACAATTCTTGATTCTTTATTTCTGAATCTGAATAATTGATGTCCCCTTTTTCATTTGTACCGGGAAAAAAAGGAAAGGCTTGATCTGGTATTTGAATACCAACACTATTATTACTATTATTACTATTATTTTTATTATTACTATTATTGTTATTATCGTAATTATTGTGATCGTTGTGATTGTTATTATCGTTGTAATTATGTTGGATATTATTATATTGTTGCTGTTGCTGATTCAGCTGTTGTTGTTGCTTTAACTGTTGTTGCTGCCGTTGTTGCAGTAATTTTTGTTGTTGCTGTTGTTGCAGTAACTTTTGTTGCTGTTGAAGCTGCAACTTTTGTTGAAATTGTTGCTGTTGTTTTAACTGTTGTTGTTGTTGAAGCTGTAGCTTTTGTTGAAGCTGTTGTTGTTGTTGTTGTTGTTGTTGCTGTTTTTGTAACTGTTGCTGCTGCTGTTGAATCTGTAACTTTAGTTGCTGCTGCTGTTGTTGTATCTTTTGTTGATGTTGTTGTCGTTGTTGTTGCTGTAATGAAGAAGATTTCGTATTTTCATCTTGATATTGGAACAACGGATTGTATAAGTTATATTGTTGTTTTTGATTATATTGATTATATTGTTGATTATTATTATTATTTTGATCCTGAGATAAATCGTTTTCTCGAGAAAACTGTGAATATTGTGGAAATTGTGAAAATTGATTTTGCTGCCGTTGGTGATCGCTGTTATTAATAGTAATAATATTATTATTCCCATTACTATTACTACTATTACTATTATTATTATTGTTATTGTTATTGGGTTCTCTGTCAACAAAATAATTTGGGTTATTGATCTCTGCGGAAGGAACTGAATTAACTGAATCAACCGAATTAGCTGGATTGACTGGATTAACTGGATTGACTGGATTAACTGATTGAGTCATTTTACAAAACATCATCATCATACAATAATTACAGTATTCCCCATTATCGCCGCTGTTTACTAATCCATTATTATAATTGTTATTATTATAATCATCACCAAGGATCAACCGGTGACAATTTACGTTCTTACAACGAAATTTTAAAATATTTCTATTACGATAAATTTCTTCTTCTAGGAACGATGATTTAATAATATTATTATTAATATTGTTGTTATTATCTTGAAATAAAATTCCACCGTTTCCGTTGTTATTGTTAATACTTTTTTTTTCCATGAAATAAAATTATTATTATTATTATTATTATTATTATAACAAAAAATCTTTATACAGACAGTTAAGATAGTTACTTGTACTGTGTGGTAATAGTTAACAAAAATAAAAAAGAAGAAAAAGAAAGAAGGAGAAAGAAGGAGAAGAAAAAAATGTAAAAAAATGTAAAAGAAAAGAGAATTCCGTAAATGATTTTTGAAAAGAAAAAATCACCATTTAATCAATTAAATTTGGAAGGCACATGATATAAATAGTATATTAATACCCCTTTTACATCGTTTTATTTGAGGGCTGTGTTATGTATAACAGAGGTCTCGATTTGTGAGTTTGCATTTAAAGAAATTCCGATCTGAGTTGATCATAATGCAAAATGAGAAACATAAAGAGAAGAGTGAGAGAGTGTGTTTATAAGAATTGATATCATTTTTTTATATGAGCAGTTGCGAGGGTTTTCGGGTTTTTCGGCGTAAAATTGTTTATTATTATTATTATTCTATTATTATTTGATCGCAAAAGAATTGAAATAATTTTATTTTGAATGATAATCTTGTTCCACGGAGTTCGTGGGTTTTGCGACATTTTATATATAGTCAATTATACCATGTGGATTCCGTGAATTCCATGAATGCTATAATTTATTATTTATTAATTGATAAATATAATATATGTAATTAATCATTGTTTTATTTCTTCCGATTGATCAAAAGGATCAACGGATTTATATATCTTCCTCTATAACAAATTATATTCATATCTTATTTTATTTTTTCATTCATTCGTCCATCCTGCGCACGGTTCGGTTAATAACGGTTAATAGTAACTTTTTTAAATTCAGTAATTCATTGAATTTATTATAATCTTTCATAATAAATGATGATGAAATATATGAAATAAGCATCATCTTTTGATTTTAATAATTTATTATTAATTAAATTAATTTATTAATTCAATATCTCACAGTCATGCGCATGATATCTCTTTTGATATTTCGATATCCTCAAAATTTTTGATATTATTTTTCGGTCTGGAGTTTCACGTACTCCGAGTCATGAAAGTCATGAAGTCATGAAGGTCATAAATTGCGCATATATACATATTTATCGTCATTTATCAATTTCCATAAATATATGTTTATCTTATATTAGATGTACACTTTGTACGAAAATAGGTATATACATAAGCAACAGCTGAGCTGAAAGCATTAATAATGAGAAAAATGAGAAAATTGTAGAATAAAATTTATTCCGTGATATTTTCGATATTTATTTATTTATTATTTTTTTTTTCTTCTTATAAAGACGAATAATTGTTTATCTGTTCTATTATGCATTCTTTGTAATATCTTAAGTTATAATATTTGATATGTAACGTTTTGTAGCATGGATTGATTTATTTTTTTTTTACTAGCATTTATTCACATTTTTATTTTTTCTTGCTCTCAAAATATTTATCATTATTTATAATAATAAAATAACAGAATAAGAATCAGGTTTAACAACAGGAAAAATAATATAAAATATAAATATAAAACTTCGCT